TTCTGCTCTAATCTTTATTTCTGTCCTTATACTAACTTTTACCTTAGTTTGTTCTTCTTTGTTAGCTCCTTGAGATAACGTTAAGTTGTTTATTTGTTATTTTTTCTTATTTTAGGTATTTATTGCTATAAATTTCCCTCTTAAAATTGCTTTTGCTACATCTTATGAGTCAAATATCTTTTGACTTCTTCTTTGACCCATTAGTTGTCCAGAAATGTATTGTTTAATTTCCACATATTTATGAATTTTTCAATTTTCTTCATGTCGTTGCTATAATTTAAATTATATCAAAATTAAATTAGGAAGGACTTGTTTTGTGGCCTAATTAGGATCTTTTCTGGCACATTTTTCATGTGCATTGTAAAGAATGTGTAATTTGTTGTTGGATGAAATACTCTGTATATGTCTGTTAGATCCATTTAGTCTACAGTGCTTCTTAAGTCAGATGTTTTGTTATTAATTTCATCTGGACAATATATCCATTGTTAAAAGTGAGATATTGAAATCCCCTGTTATTATTGTATTGCTGTCTATTGCTTACTTTAGTACTTTTAGTATTTGCTTTAAATATTTAGGTTATCTGATGTATTTGCTTTAAATATTTAGGTTCTCTGATGTTGGGTGCATATATATTTACAATTATTATATCCTCTTGATGAATTAACCTTTTTATCATTATATAGTGAATTTCTTTTTCTCTTGTGACAGTTTTTGTCTTAAAGGTTATTTTGTCTAATACAAGTATAGACACAACTGCTTTCTTTTTGCTACCATTTGCATGAAATATCTTTTTCTATCCCTTCATTTTCAATAAATATGCATTCATAAGAGTAAGGTGAGTTTTTATTCATTAATCCACTCTATGTTTTTTGATTGTAGAATTTAAATCATTTATATTTAAAGTAATTAACAATAAGTAAAAACTACTGCCATTTTGTTGTTTTCTGACTTTTGTAGTTTCTTTATTTCATTTTTTCTCTCTTGCTGACTTTAGTGATTTGATTATTTTTTGTAGTAGTATGCTACTACATACTTCTCTTTATCCTTTATGTATCTAAAATAGATTTTATTTCTTTGTGGTTACCATGAGGCTTACATAAAACATCTGATAATTATATAGTCATTTTAAGATGATAACAACTTTAATGGCATTCAAAATATATAGTTTAACTTCTCCTCCTCCCATATTTTATGGTGCTGATGACACAGTTTACATCTTTTATGTGTCATATATCCATTAAAAATTATTGTAGCTTACATATTTATAATACATTTTTCTAACTTTTATATTAGAGGTTAAAGCGATTTATGTACCACCGTTACAGTACTAAAGGATTCTCGATTTGACTATATGCTTTCCTGTACAGTGAGATCTGTACTTTCATATGTTTTTATACTGTTAGTTAGCATCCTTTTATTTCAATTTGAAGAACTCCCTTAGCATTTCTTGGAAAGCAGGTCTAGTTTTGATGAATTCCCACAGCTTTTGTTTGTGTGGAAAATCCTTATCTTTCTTTTATTTCTGAAAGACAGTCTTGCCAGTCATAGTATTCTTAGTTGGCAATTTTATTCTTTCAGCATCACTCTAAGTATATCATCCCATTCCCTTTTGGACTACAAAATTTCTGATGAGAAATCTACTCATAGTCTCAAGCATTCCCTTTTATGTGACAAGTTGCTTTTCTCATACTACTTTCAAAATTGTCTCTTTTTCTATGACTTTTGAAAACTTGATTTAATGTGTCTCATGAAGATCTCTTTATAGGTATTCTAATTTGGTTTCTTTGGGATTCATGAATTGGGATGTTCATTTTCCTCTCCAGATTCAGAAAGTTTTCTGTCATTATTTCTTTGAATAAGCTTTCCCCACTCCACTTTCACCTTTTTCTTTCTCTGCTCTTTCTGTGAAACTCATAATTCATGTATTTATTTCCTTGATGCTGTCCCATAATTTTAGGCTTTCTTCATTCCTTTCCCTGTGTTTGTTTTATTTTGTTTTCGTTGTTTGTTTGTTTTTCCCTGTGACTTGGTAATTTCAAATGAATTTTGTTCAAACTCTGATTCTTTCTTCTGCTTAATTGAGTCTGGTCTGAAGCTCTCAATGATATTTTTTAGTTTAGTTATAGTGTTCCTTAGCTCCAAAATTTGTGTGTGTGTGTGTGTGT